TTGTCTTGCTGATTTTTGCTTCTGCGTGATGAGTCAGAGGCAAAAACCTCCGCTTTGCAATTCTTAACTATGAATTGGCCTTTGCTCTGACTTCAGTCCGGTCGTCCGTGGTTACCGCTGATTCTCGCGAGGACTTTGGCATGGATCCAGACATTACGTGTTGAAACGCCAAGACGATTTGCTCCTCGCCTCGGGTCAAATCGAAGGGGCGTCATGATGTAGAGATAAATGCAGAAATATACATGAAATGAAATCCGGAAACAGATCAAGTTGAATGAAAAACGTCCACCTTGACTTTATTAAAACCTAATAAAAACAAGAATAAGAAGGAAATATCAGTGTTTTTTTTCCTTGCATCAACACAACTAAACAAGTTATTTATGGTCTTTCTACGAAGAGGCAAAGACATATTTCTCAGAAGCATATTGCGAGTGAGATGTTTGGCCTATAATGGTTGGCTTCTTTTCTCTCACCATAAGGATCCAATTGTACACAACCATCAATCATCTCAGAGCACAGTCATCAAAACAGCTCGCATTTGTCTGAAAGCACCATGGGTAAAATGTACTTAGCTGGTTTCTTGCTCTTGTTTGTGGAGACAGATGCACAGGATTTACAAGCTCTAGGAAATGGAGAGACTCAACCTCTAGCACCACTCGTATTTGTATTATTTCAACAATGTATATGGTGAAATATGGAACATGAATTGATAACTAGCTGTTTTTCGTTCGCAAAATGGTGATGGTAAAAATCAGAAATATCATGTGAAAATCATGTAGTTTGACAATGGGGAAGGTAAATACTGTATACGTTTTTTGCTTCGGCCTTCTCTTTTTGACCTTTGTTTATTGAAATATATATGTACCTGTAAAAATACATTGCAAAGCTGCTGAAATAAACTAATACTACCATTACTACTACTACTATACAGTAGCTTGGGAGATACCAGTAGCCCGCCACCCTCTTCAAAGTAGTTCCCAAAAGGATTGTGTTATGGTAAATATGAAAAAATGCCTCCTTTTTGCGCTAACACATTGCGCAATTGTTGTATGAGATTAACTTTAAACAACAACATAATATCCAAATTTGCCAACATTAACTAGAGAACATTTTGACGGTCTTAAAACAATATTTGTCATTAAAACAATAAATACATTTGCTATATCAGTGCTTGACATAAGACTGTTCCATTGTTTGCTTTATACTTAATCCAGAGTAGCCAACCATTATGTTGCCTGTCAAAATTGATTCGTTTTCTACCATTTGTGTCCCAAAATACTAGCTCTCCCAGTGAAAAGGTTGGAGATTCCTGCTGTGAAACTCGATTGTTGCTTTTTTGTGCCTATAATGAAATAAGCCGTTTCCTTGTCTCTAACGACCACCTTTTTAAATAATTACTGAATGACTTGACTTCTCTCTCTATAAGCTCAGCCCGAAGCCATTTCTTTGCTACTACTGCTGTCACCTTGCCTCCATTGTGCCCCTGTCTGCCCTTGCCATTCACTGACAGACTCTGTAAATTCCAATCAAAGAGCGTCTAGTCAACTCTCAGTCGGGAATCATGGGGTTTTGATCCGAGCCTGAATCTGGTCTATTGCAGCAGTCAATCAGAGCGCTGGGTGCAGGTGACGCTGAGCTGCTAACTCTGTGCAGTCAAGTTGAACAATTACATGAGAGAGAAAGGTGCCGATAATGACATCACAGCTGGGGGGCGGAGCTTTCAAACCACAGCGATGGAACAAAGTCTGACAAACTACTTCCTGGCTCTGTAATGGTTTGGTTCTTAAAGCTGCACTAACTGACTTTATTTTTGTATTCATTACGAAAATGCTATCCATGTCCATGTAGTGCATTGGGATATACATCATTTTGAAGAAAAAGTAGCGCAGATTTGTGCTGGCGTGACATTATATTTTAGATCGAGTTTTGATGAAACAAGGAAGAGAATGTGTTTCGGGTCGCGGATTGTGACCAATCGCAGCGCACCACTAGCCCCCACTTTCGTGAGAAATCTACAGGTCCGTTAGCACAGACAGCTGAGTTAGCACAACAAGCGGCGGAGCTAACCTGAAGCTTTGTGTGTCTTTGTCACCGGTTACTGCTTACACAGCAAGACAGCCATCCAAAAGAAAGCCCCGTTCCTCCGCTCTTCCCGGTTCTATCGTTCTATGGTCACGCCATCCACGTGCAAATCCATATTTGTGTATTATCCATATTGGGAGACGCTAAATCTGTCCCAACAGTGAGTGTGTGTGGGGGGCGATAGCTTCGTGGGTGCGGGGAGGGGAGCAGAAAGAGAGAGGCCAGCGAGTCCACGGCTTCAAAATCCCAAAGTCAGTTAGTGCAGCTTTAAACAATATTACATTTTCCGGACAGTTAAAGGCGCTCCACATCATAATCCATTCACTCCATACACCATGGTGATAAACTAAAATTGTAGCCACAGCTGCCCTGGGGCACACTGACAGAAGCATCGCAACCAGTATGTGCCATCAGCCCTTCCACACACACACACACACACCAGACTCATTCTAATGTGTCTTGCCTATGGACAAAACCACAGTTTGGCACTTGTATAGCCGCAGCCGCCCCCACTGTGGCACCTGCTGTCCCCAGAGGTCTCCCATCACAGTACTGACCAGGCCCTGCCCCTGCATAGCTTCAGAGTCTGCAGAGGTCTCTCTCTCTCATATTTTTAGATCACCTTTTTCAGGCCGAAAAGTGATAAGAAGCGGATTAGCTCCAAGCCCAACAAGTCAAATGTAGACTCACTGGGCCATTTCTCGGTGTTTTACTTTTAGGACATAAAACAGAGAAAGGTTTAAAATTGTATTAATATTTCTTAATTACATTTTAATCAGTCGCCAAATTAACATTATTAGAATCCATAATAACAGTCAAATGGCTGTTTGATTGGAATGGCTGGTGTGGTGTCTGCTATCATTATTATTCATAATAAGTAGTAGTCGTTTGTGTATGTGTGTGTATGTGTGTGTGTGTATGTGTGTAATCATCAAACTGAAATTTCTCCATTGTGGGACGAATAAAGGACCTTCTTCTTCTCTTCTTCTTAAAAGGTATCTTGTGACTCATCCTAAATACTAAAGAGGCCACTGCTTTGTGTATTCGGGGTCATTCTGCTTTTCCATCTTCAGGGACCCAGGCTAGGCTTACTGTAGTCTGTAATGTGTATGCTATTCTGTTTATATACAGTGCCTTGCGAAAGTACCCTTGAACCTTTCAACATTTCGCCACATTTCAGGCTTCAAACATAAAGATATAAAATTTTAATTTTTTGTCAAGAATCAACAACAAGTGGGACACAATTGTGAAGTGGAACGAAATGTATTGGATAATTTAAACTTTTTTAACAAATAAAAAACTGAAAAGTGGGGCGTGCAATATTATTCGGCCCCTTGCGCTAATACTTTGTAGCGCCACCTTTTGCTGCAATTACAGCTGCAAGTCGCTTGGGGTATGTCTCTATCAGTTTTGCACATCGAGAGACTGGAATTCTTTCCTATTTTTCCTTGCAAAACAGCTCGAGCTCAGTGAGGTTGGATGGAGAGCATTTGTGAACAGCAGTCTTCAGCTCTTTCCACAGATTCTCGATTGGATTCAGGTCTGGACTTTGACTTGGCCATTCTAACACCTGGATACGTCTATTTGTGAACCATTCCATTGTAGATTTGGCTTTATGTTTTGGATCATTGTCCTGTTGGAAGATAAATCTCCGTCCCAGTCTCAGGTCTTTTGCAGACCCCAACAGGTTTTCTTCCAGAATGGTCCTGTATTTGGCTCCATCCATCTTCCCATCATATTTAGCCATCTTCCCTGTCCCTGCTGAAGAAAAGCAGGCCCAAAGCATGATGCTGCCACCACCATGTTTGACAGTGGGGATGGTGTGTTCAGGGTAATGAGCTGTGCTGCTTTTACGCCAAACATATCGTTTTACATTGTGGCCAAAAAGTTTGATTTTGGCTTCATCTGACCAGAGCACCTTCTTCCACATGTTTGGTGTGCTTCCCAGGTGGTTTGTGGCAAACTTTAAACCAGACTTTTTATGGATATCTTTGAGAAATGGCCACTCTTCCATAAAGGCCAGATTTGTGCAGTGCACGACTGATTGTTGTCCTATGGACAGACTCTCCCACCTCAGCTGTAGTTATCTGCAGTTCATCCAGAGTGATCATGGGCCTCTTGCCTGCATCTCTGATCAGTCTTCTCCTTGTTTGAGATGAAAGTTTGGAGGGACGGCCGGGTCTTGGTAGATTTGCAGTGGTCTGATACTCCTTCCATTTCAATATAATTGCTTGCACAGTGCTCCTTGAGTTGTTTAAAGCTTGGTAAATCTTTTTGTATCCAAATCCGGCTTTAAACTTCTCCACAACAGTATCTCGGACCTGCCTGGTGTGTTCCTTTGTCTTCATGGTTCTCTCTGCGCTTTAAACAGAACCCTGAGACTATCAAAGAGCAGGTGCATTTATACGGAGACTTGATTACACACAGGTGCATTCTATTTATCATCATCAGTCATTTAGGACAACATTGGATCATTCAAAGATCCTCACTGAACTTCTGGACTGAGTTTGCTGCACTGAAAGTAAAGGGGCCGAATAATATTGCACGCCCCACTTTTCAGTTTTTTATTTGTTAAAAAAGTTTAAATTATCCAATAAATTCACAATTGTGTCCCACTTATTGTTGATTAATGACAAAAAAAATAGTTTTTATATCTTTTTGTTTGAAGCCTGAAATGTGGCGAAATGTTGAAAGGTTCAAGGGGCTGAATACTTTCGCAAGGCACTGTACATTAATATACATCAAACCTTCTTTATTGTATCAAAACAGATTCTGAGTTTCCATTCACTCATACACTGGTATGTGCGGGAGAGAAACCCAGTTAGACACAGATTATTTACCTCACTGGAATAAATGTTAAGACATCAATATTTTTACTTGCTACCAGTAAGAATTAGCCTTTCAACAAACCTTTTTTCCTAGTATTTCAAGTTGGAGTTTGTTCTCTCCTCCTCCAGTCCTCCTCCAGTCCACAGTCCTCCTCCAGTCCTCCTCCAGTCCACAGTCCTCCTCCAGTCCTCCTCCAATCCTCCTCCAGTCCTCCTCCAATCCTCCTCCAGTCCTCCTCCAATCCTCCTCCAGTCCTCCTCCAGTCCTCCTCCAATCCTCCTCCAGTCCTCCTCCAGTCCTCCTCCAATCCTCCTCCAGTCCTCCTCCAGTCCTCCTCCAGTCCTCCTCCAATCCTCCTCCAGTCCTCCTCCAATCCTCCTCCAGTCCTCCTCCAATCCTCCTCCAGTCCTCCTCCAATCCTCCTCCAGTCCTCCTCCAATCCTCCTCCAGTCCTCCTCCAGTCCTCCTCCAATCCTCCTCCAGTCCTCCTCCAGTCCTCCTCCAGTCCTCCTCCAATCCTCCTCCAGTCCTCCTCCAATCCTCCTCCAGTCCTCCTCCAATCCTCCTCCAGTCCTCCTCCAATCCTCCTCCAGTCCTCCTCCAGTCCTCCTCCAATCCTCCTCCAGTCCTCCTCCAATCCTCCTCCAGTCCTCCTCCAGTCCTCCTCCAGTCCTCCTCCAGTCCTCCTCCAATCCTCCTCCAGTCCTCTTCCAATCCTCCTCCAGTCCTCCTCCAATCCTCCTCCAGTCCTCCTCCAGTCCTCCTCCAATCCTCCTCCAGTCCTCTTCCAGTCCTCCTCCAGTCCTCCTCCAGTCCTCCTCCAGTCCTCCTCCAGTCCTCCTCCAGTCCTCCTCCAATCCTCCTCCTCCTCCAGTCCTCCTCCAGTCCTCCTCCAGTCCTCCTCCAGTCCTCTTCCAGTCCTCCTCCAGTCCTCCTCTAGTCCAGTCCTCGTCCAGTCCTCGTCCAGTCCTCCTCCAGTCCTCCTCCTCTGCCCGTGTTATTAACGTGACTCCTCCATCAACCAGGACTCTTGACCCGTTCTGCACTTTCACACACGAGCGACGCCACCGATGTGTGACGGGAGCCATAATGAAGTGGTCCACGCCGCGTCTCGGCTCCGACCGTCAATTACAAGCGGTGCAGGAGAGAGAGGAGCGTTTATATCTGCCCCGACGTGGCCCGGCTTCTGACCAACGACGACGGCAAAACACTTCCCAACGTACCGTAGTTGCCACAAGAAAACCTGTCCCCACCAGGCCACCGTAGTGTGAGGTCAAAGCCGGACACGGTGAATGCTAATGATTGTTATGTGACGCTTTGGTTTTTTTGATAACGTTATCGTCTCTCGCTTCGTCCACGGTGGTGATTAATCGTTGCCGCCGCTGCCCTGGGGCATACTGGCAGAAGAGTGGCAGTCAGTATGTGCCATTTGCCGCTCCAATCACCACCAACCATTCACCGGACTCATTCTACGGGATTAGGCTTCATACACAGGCCCACTGTGGCACCTGTTGTTCCCAGAGTTCTACCATCGCAGTATTAACCCTCTAGGCGCCACGGTCGACTTAAGTCGACAAGCTGCGGTACTGTTAAAAACGGCCGAGTGTGACCAACTGAGTGTCAAAATTCATTCATACTCCCTGCCACTAGTTGGCAGACATGTCAGACTACCTCCCTGGCCCCAAAAAACGTCATGCTCCCATACAAAATATTCGAGCAAGACCGCGTTGAACCAGTGCAGAAATCATAGCGAAGCGAATGCAGCTGCGGGGCAGCCTGCGAGTGTTATACTGCACCAAACACTAACTTTAGACACTTTGCACAGGGTCTGCAGTGGGAACATTGTTTCTCAGAGTAAGGCCAAGTCATTGGGAGGTTTGGAGACAGGTTAGATTTGCGGAAAACAAGCCTGGAACGGGGCGCCGCGACCTCCAGCCTCCACTAAAGTCTCAGCTAAAAGTGCTTCCCACATATTTATTTTCATGCCTCCCGTAATCACCGGGACAGTAACGTGTTGGAGAAGCCTTGTCTTGTGGTGTTAGACGAGAGAGAGATCAGGGGAGATGAGAGAGAGAGCAGGGGAGACAGCTGCAGCAGGAGGGTCGTGGTGACGCGCTTCACCTGGAGGCGCGCGTCTGGGCAGACTGCTCACAGCAGCACCATGATTTGTATTTTTTACTATTTTCATGAACATTTACAATGTTACAGTGTGTGCTCTGTGTGTGTTCATGTTCTAGTGTTAAATATATGTCTGTTAGTTAGAAAAATACAAATATTGTATGAAAATTCTAAAATCCACTATTTCTAACGCCAAATGACGTCATAATATGCAAATTAGATGGGGGGATTTATTCCCTACATAAACTTTGGACCATCCTATATATTTTTCTAATTTACAGAAAGCCTTTATCTCTTATCACTTTTAAGTTATAGCCTTTTGAAATTAAGATGTCAAAATTGAGCGTTTTGGAAAAAAACCTCTGGCGCTTAAAGGGTTAACCGAAACCCTGCAGCTGGACCAGAACCAGGAAGTACCATCGTATCAGTTCTGGTCCCAGGTCTCAGAGGATGGACTTTAAAGCAGATCTGTTTGTTTGTTGTTTGTCTCTCCATGGCCTCAAACCAAAGTATAATCTGTGACATGTTAGTGCCATATGAACCGACTCTGAGGAGCACAGGGACCGGCCTCTACTACTACCACTCCTACTACTACTACTGCCACTTCTACCACAATCCAACCCTAACCCTAACACTACTACTTGCCACCTATTACTACTACTACCACTAGTACTAATACTCATGTGTACTGTAGTTGTCAGTTCTTCTCTTTCTTTGCAGACTCTCTCAGACTCTTGTTGGCGATTAGGACGCAGCGTTACAGTAAAAATAACCCTCTTTTCTCTGAACTCCTCTGGATTCGCTGTTTGTTGTGAAATTGCAGCTTGTTTTGACGGGACGGCCGGTTCTCTCCCCTTCATCTCGCCCCTTATATTCTGCTGTCGGGGCTTTGAAGCCGGTGGCAGTTAATTACCTTGAAGTGTGTTGCGGCTAGTTCTGGAATGTTTGTTGTTACCGATGCGTTTCAAAACCTCTAAGTTACAATTCTCCGCGTTTTTGCGTTCTGGGCCGTGTCATCGAAGTGGGACAGCCTCAGAATAGAGTTTGAGACCTGCCTTTTTGTGTCTGTATGTACTTATGTGTACTTCTTTGCATAGTTAAAAGATATGAATTCACTTTTTGTGTGGCTACTTTGGTACTGAAATCTCACACTATATTATTTAACTAATTCAACGTCTATGTACTTGATGGTTGTATTATTAGTGTACAAATTACATTGACTTTATTGAAGCTGGGTGCCAGTGGCGGAGTGGTTAGCGCTTGTGTTTTACGGTGATTCCACCACCAGGCCCTCTTTGTTTACATGTTCTTCCAGTGTCTGTGTAGGTTTACTCTGGGTGCTGCGGTTTCCCCTACCACTAAAAACCAAGTACAATAGTCCTCCATAACACCCTCCCAGACTTCCCCGAAAAAAGAGATTAAAATACATTACCAAATTATTTTCTTCAGAAGCGATAAAAAGACTGATTTTATGGTGTGGACGAATCGGAAAACAACATACTGGCTTACAAATGAGCCGAGGCGATTTTTGACGCTTTGGGCAGAGAGCTGATTGGCTGAATGAGGGTGGTTTTCTCTTTCTCACTTTCGTTCAGTCGTGTGGTTTGAAAGTCAGGTACCCCAGGTTTAAAGGTAGCACTTACAATACTTACAATACAGGCAGGTATGTCTCCAAGTTTATTTTACGGCAAAAAAATAAATGTATGAACCAAAAATGTTGTGCCAGCAGGAGGCCAGTCCCTGTGCTCCTCAGAGTCCCAGCAGGAGGCCAGTCCCTGTGCTCCTCAGAGTCCCAGCAGGAGGCCAGTCCCTGTGGTGCGAGGTCATGGAGAGACTTGAAACAAACAGGGCTGTTTTAAAGTCTATTTTCTGAGCCACAGATGCAGAGACCTGAGACCAGGACTAATGTGATGGTACTTCCTGGTTCTTGTCAGGATTCCAGCTGCAGATTTTTGGTTAATACTATAATTCTTGAATACTGTGTATTTTATAAATAGAGCAAAATCTCAGATGGGCTCGAAATCATGTCAAGAAAAATGGATCCCTTAAAAAAAAAAAAAATAGTATTGAACAGTGGCTCAGTTGGTAGAGCATTGGCCTTTGGACCTGGAGGTTGTGGGTTTGAGCCCACCACAAGACCTACTTCACGACTCCTACTGATGACTGCTGTCGTTGTGTCCTTGGGCAAGACACTTAACCCCACTTTGCCTGAAGCCCCCGCTGAAAAATATCAGCTCCTGTGGACTCACCACCTGCAGGAGGATCAGTGGGGGCTGGTGCTCTGTGTACTGGGTGCAGGTCTGACTGCTATCCCCCCTGACCCAGACATGGAATAAGGGGAAAAAGATGGATGGTATTGAACTTTGGGTACATGATTGTTATTTTTAGGACATATCACCAGGACAGAGAAGACTATTTAATGGTTAATGGTTGGGGATATAACTAGAATCAACCTGTAATTATAGATTATACATTCTGCAAAACATATCATTCAACTGCAGACAACACTTTTTGCGTCCACTTTTTGTTACGTCTGGAGCTGTGAATAGTACGGTGTGAACCCTTTCACTGGACAAACAAGGAACAAAACACGAGTCTGTGAACATTCGGCAGTAGCGGCCGTGGACATGTCCAGACTTTTTCCTGTCATTGACCCAAATGTAACACATCAGTGCAGTTTCTTGTGTAGTGAGTTTAAAAATTACTTCAAAAGAGCATCAAAAACACACATAACTTTTGACAGAACAAGAAACAGCCGCCGAAAAATAGTTTACAAATCCAGTTGAGACAGTATAAAATGAGGCTGTCGTTTCCTTTACAAAGTGGCGCTCTATTTTTACATCTCTTTGACACTTGGATGCGAGCAGAGTGTACCAGGTCTTTGTGGAGCACAGACGAGCGTTCACAAACCAGAGCTGCGTTTACAGGCTTTTACTGAATTTGGATTAAATTAAATGTAAAAAAGACATCTGCTGCATGAGCAAAGCTTTCGACTGAATAACGACTGGCAATTCATCCCGATCTGTGAGAGCTCTGGCCTGATTGGTCGCTCTGAAACAACACGGATTAACTCGTAACGATGTCTTTCATTGAATTGGAAGAAGAATTTGAAGCTGGAGTCCCACTATTGATGTCTATTGGGTCAAGTTAGATGTTATATGATTGGTTTAAACTATACAGACTCAAAAAGAAATGTAAGTAATCTTTGTTCACTGTGCGCTGGAGTCCCAATGCTGGTCAAATAGTTGCTGATTCGTTGGTTTAAACTTTGCAGACCAAAAAAAGTAAGCAAAATGTATTCACAGTGCGCTGTCCATGGTTCTGAAATACTTAATGCAAATAATATGAGACTTCGGATACGGATTGACTTCTACCGAGGACTTTTAATGAACCGGCAAGAAAAACTTGAAGCTGGGGAACGTCCAATAGTGACTCACAGGTACTTGCTAATATGGACCAAGTGACATGTTTTTTTAACGAGTCAAAAACAGTAAGTAATCTTTATTTATATACCGCCTTTTCACTGCAGATCTGAGTCTTAAAGCGCTTTACAATTGTTAATATTGGGCAATTGTCTCTCACTCCACACAGAGATGGGAGCGGGGCCAGTACAAGAGGCGCATGCTAGAACTATTGGACATATTTTTTGTGGTAGGGGAAACCGGAGTACCCGGAGGAAACCTACGCAGACACGGGGAGAACATGCAAACTCCACTCAGAAAGGCCCTGGTCCGACCAGGATTCGAACCCAGGACCTTCTTGCTGAGAGGCGAGAGTGCTATCCACTCAGCCACCGTGCCGCCCTTGGTGAAGTCTGGCTTGTTCAATTATTTCCCGAGCTTAAAGTATGTTCACAGGAATAAATCATTATAGATGTGCTGTTATATTTTTTGAGTTTTTTACTTTTAAATCTTGTTCGAGAACGTTAAGCAAATCACTTAGTCTGACTTTGACAATATATGGTGACAATCAGAAAATGAGAATATGGTTCAAAAGTTCATTTATTTCTGTCACTAAACTTGTACGTCCTCTGTTCATGCTGCTGTTAACTTTGTATTTAACTGTGATATAAAATTGACTTTTTAACTTGTATTTAAGGTGTGAAGAATTGCGCCTAAGAATTCAAATGTATTATTAGTGCTACTCAAAAGTTATGAAGTTATAAGATATTTGAGCTAATATTGAACTATACCTCTGTGTGTAACAAGTCTCTGGTCTTATTAGTTTCACATTGCAAGTTCAATTATAGAAGTGGATTGACTTTTTGAATTGTTTTCTGAGTTCCACCTACATTCATAAACGATACATGACAAGTCCGTAATGTATCTGATTCTCTCCCTCATCAACAACCCCCCCCATCCTCCCCCCCCCCCACCCTTAATCCAGTTTACCCCCAGCTCATTATCTCCCGGCTGCCAATACGTGCTGATTGAAATATGATAGTCATCTGAGATCGAATTAGCGACAAGGTTATTGCAGCGCCCTTCTGACAAATTAAACCAGAACTGCTTTAAATATCGTCGGCGTGGCTCTGGACGGACGTGTAATTATGTGTTGCGACGGAAGCAAAAAAAAAAACAGTCTACAAAAGCTTTTATGCGAGTTGCTGAGGGAAACGTATCGATCTGGAAGCATATGTGACCTGCGCTGATGCTAATGGATGCTAGTACAGAGTGTTCTTATGTTTATGTGGGTCTGTAACGAGAGGCCGAGGCATAAAAGGCAGTAAAGTGTATACAATGAAGGCACAAGGACACTAGGCATTAAAATCATAAACTATCACTGGTACGGAGTGAAGATAGAATCCACATTTTCCAGGTTTTAGCTGCATAAAAGCCACAAAAGTTGCATGATATTAGCAAAGTAAGGCACAAAACGATATTTAGCCTGTCCAGAAATCTTGCTTGTTTTCTCGACGGCTTAAGTATTTTTTTTCCACCATAATTTGCAAAAAAATTATGTTTTATTCATGTTTTTTTCTCTCATTGTTCAGCTATACCTATGGATGAAAAATTAAAGGCTATGTGAGAGGACTTGCACAAATGCTTTTTTGCTTTGCCCCACTGTAGTCTATCGTGTCAAGTAAAATGTTATGATTAGTAAGTTCAAAAAGTACAGAAAAAATACATTAAAATACAGTAAAATGTGAAAGATCAATCAATCTATAAAAAAAAGAGGATTTTGTTCACAATGTCCTGTCCATGGTGCTGAAATCTGTAATGGTAAGAATGTGGTACTTATCACATGTATGCACTCTCGCCTCTCAGCAAGAAGGTCCTGGGTTCGAATCCCGGTCGGACCAGGGCCTTTTTGAGTGGAGTTTGCATGTTTTCCCCGTGTCTGAGTAGGTTTCCTCCGGGTACTCCGGTTTCCCCTACCACTAAAAATATGTCCAATAGTTCTAGCATGCGCCTCCTGTACTGGCGACCCCGCTCCCATCTCTGTGTGGAGTGAGAGACAAATGCCCAAAATTAACAATTGTAAACCGCTTTGAGACTCAGATCTGCAGTGAAAAGGCGGTATATAAATTAAGATTACTTACTTACTTACTTACTACTACTTACTACTTATGAATGTACTTTATTACAGACATTGGACTGAACCATTTTCACAAAGTGCTGTCCATGGTTTGAAATACTTGATGCTAAGAATGCCAGACTTATGAATGCACTTTGTTCCAGACATTGGACAAACCCATGTTCACACTGTGCTGTCCATGGTGCTGAAATGTGTACTCGTAAGAATGTGGCACTTATGAACAGTGATGGGAATAACGGCGTTACTAGTAACGGCGTTACTAACGCCGTTACTTTTTTCAGTAACGAGTAATCTAACTAATTACTTTGACAGTAACTATAACGCCGTTATCATTTCCGAATGGAGGATTACATATCTACGCTCAAACCATTCACTGGATTTAAACAAGGAACTGGTCTGAACCGAAGTGGACTGTGCAGGTCATTTATAAGGTATAGCTATAAGGTAAGACCCATAACTCATAGTTTTGCGTTTTGTATGAACAAACAATGCGGGCATAAAACATATTTTGCTGTAGCCAAACAAATTGTCCACTTGATTTATATGATGTATATGTTCATCTGATTGGACTGAAGTCAGTGCTTCACCAGCCTCACCGCTCGTCACCGGTGTTTCACATTCCACATCACTGTGGCGGGCTTTACAGCAACAGTGAGAGATGAAGAGTGAACAGGACTTCAGCAGCAAAACAGCCTTTTCTAGATGGAAATATTGGCACTGTTAAAGGTAAAAATGCGCACGTCGGGTGCACATTATGTTCCAGAACAAAACGAAAAAGTAACGCAATAGTTACTTTTACTGGTAACTAGTTACTTTTATAGTGGAGTAACTCCGTTAGTAACTCAGTTACTTTTTGGGAGAAGTAACTAGTAACTATAACTAATTACTTTTTCAAAGTAACGTGCCCAACACTGCTTATGAATGACCTTTATTACAGAGACATTGGATAGAACCATTTCCGCAAAGTGCTGTCCATGGTTCTGAAATACTTGATGCTAAGAATGCGGTACTTATGATTGCACTTTGTTACAGGCGTTGGACACAAGCGCTGTCCATGGTCCTGAAATACTTGATGCTAACAATGCGGCACTTATGAATGTACTTTATGACAGACACGTTGGACAGAACCATTTTCACAAAGCGCTGTCCATGGTCCTGAAATACTTGATGTTGAGAATGTGTTACTTATGAATGTACTTTGTTATGAACATTCTTCCATTTGTAATCAAAGAAGCCATCTGTTTAAACAAGATAAATGATAGACAACATACAACTATTCTCCAACATTCCAACAACTCTTTTGATAAAACACATAGATTAATAGAATTGATACTTTCCCAGCTCCTAATACTTCGTCTAGAATCTCCAACTTTTTTCACGCAGAGAGCTACAGTACTTTCTCAGGACTAGGGTGGCAGACATAACTACAGGTACTCCTTTGAAGCATCAGGGAATATAGGTACAAAAGAACAGTGAGAGATTGCTTAGTCATTAGTTCTATTTTATCACCACTTTAGTTTCATTTACAAAAGCTGTGAGCATGTACATGACACATTTTGGAATAATTTGCATAGTTATGTCATTTCGAAATCCTTTGGGGAACTACTTGGAAGGAGGTGGACAGTACATACTCATAGGTGTATCAATCAATCAAAGTTTATTTGTAGAGCGCCTTTCATACACAGGGCAACACAAAACATTAAAATCACACAAAAGATTAAAACCATTAAAACTTTCAAAATTACACAAGGAATAAAAAAAAATAAAAAAATAAATGACAACAGTGCATTAGAAATGGAGATAAAATCCTTCAGTTGTATGCACAGGCAAACAGAACAGTCTTTAACCTGGATTTGAACGTTGACAGAGTAGACGCCTCTCACATTTTCAGGGAGATTGTTCCAGATCTTAGCTGCATGGATCTGAAACGCAGCCTCCCCATGTTTGGTTCTCACTCTGGGCACCAGCAGGAGGCCAGTCCCTGTGCTCCTCAGAGTCCGAGCCGGTTCATATGACAGCCATAATGTGTTTTTTTTGTTTTACTTTGCGACAAAACCAAGTACCACTGCGTATTTCTCAGTCCAAATCCGTAAACGGTAAAGCCAATGTGATTACAGCCTTTAGTGGTCGTGCAGATTTAGTTTCATAATTCCATCTGTGGTTTTTTATCCCCCGTACCAGGTCTTTATTTGTCCGTTCCTGGTCGGGCACCGCAGCTTCTTGTAAAACAAAAGCAGGTGTTTGAACTAGAATTTGTCAAATTTTTCCGGTGGTCTTTATGAGCATCACGACGGCCCCTTATGTCTTTCTGCGGAATAGTAAACTGTGGGTTGTAAATTTCCCAAAGTGTCTCGGTCGGCGTCTTGGCAGCGGAACAACAAAAGGCGAATTAAAGATAATTAACGTCTGTTTGGTGCCGCTCGAGATGATTTCCACGTTTCAGAGAAGAATGGATAAAACGGGAAGGAACATGTGAACAAATGTATTTACACATGTATTTACAAATATTCTTCTCCTCCTTCTACTCCTACTACTACTACTACTACCACCACTACTACATGAGTGTGTGTGGATCGGCTGCACAGAGTGAGTAGTAGTTGGAGGTGAGTGAGTGTTGGTGCAGAAACAGCGATGCGCGGAAACACAGGAGACATCTGTTCGCTCGCAGATGGTGAGGAGCACGAGGCCAAAACACGACCAGCATCAACCAGGAGAGACTGACCAGGAGAGATTGACCGGGAGAGACTGACCGGGAGAGACCGACCGGAAGAGACCGACCGGGAGAGACCGACCGGGAGAGACCGACCGGGAGGGAGACCGACCGGGAGGAGACCGACCGGGAGGAGACCGACCGGGAGGAGACCGACCGGGAGGAGACCGACCGGGAGGAGACCGACCGGGAGGAGACCGACCGGGAGGAGACCGACCGGGAGGAGACCGACCGGGAGGAGACCGACCGGGAGGAGACCGACCGGGAGGAGACCGACCGGGAGGAGACCGACCGGCAGAGAGCGACCGGGAGAGAGCGACCGGGAGAGAGCGACCGGGAGAGAGCGACCGGGAGAGAGCGACCGGGAGAGAGCGACCCGGAGAGAGCGACCGGGAGAGAGCGACCCGGAGAGAGCGACCCGGAGAGAGCGACCCGGAGAGAGCGACCGGGAGAGAGCGACCGGCAGAGACCGACCGGCAGAGACCGACCGGCAGAGACCGACCGGCAGAGACCGACCGGCAGAGACCGACCGGCAGAGACCGACCGGCAGAGACCGACCAGCCGTATGCCTTCCAACCACGCACGTTTTTTTTTTCTCTTCTATTTTTATGCAATGAATAAAATAGCCCCACGGCCGTTTCACTATTATTACAAGACAAGTGCATGAAGAAAAACAAGATTAGAATGACATAAATAAAACTAATCAAATTGCAGTAAACAATTGTCACTGTGAAATCCTTTCGACTAAAACCGTTTCAATACAAAGGCAAGATCATCAAAGTGGTCTGAAAGAAGCTGTTAGTAAAACCAGATGTCCTCCAATATCTTCTGCCAGAGGGAAGAAGCTGGAACATGGCTCAGTTTAAAAGTCTAGATTCACAAAAAAAAAAGAAAAAAATAAAACAGAACAGGCAGCTCACAGTTCTCTTTCAAGTCCATGGTCTGGCTCTGGACTCTCTTACTGGTATCTCTCTTGTCTCTCTCTCTGGTCACTCTCTCTGGTCTCTCTTTCTGGTCTCTCTGGTCTCCTTTCTCTGGTCTCTCTCTGTTCTCTCTCTGGTCTCTCTTTCTGGTCTCTCTGGTCTCCTTTCTCTGGTCTCTCTTTCTGGTCTCTCTCTGTTCTCTCTCTGGTCTCTCTCTGGTCTCTCTTTCTGGTCTTTCTCTTGTCCCTCTCTGGTCTCTCTTCTCTGCTGTCTCTCTCTCTCTTTTTGCCTTTCTCTGGTCTCTCTTCCTGGCCTCTCTCTCTGGTCTCTCTCTGCCCTCTCTCTGCCCTCTCTCTGCCCTCTCTCTCTCTCTTGTCTCCTTGCTTTGGCTTTGATGTCACCAAACCAGTCTTTTGTCATAAATTCTCAACGTTTCTGCAGAAAGTAGGTACGAGCTTTCTCAGCGACCTGTGGGTGTTTTTGTCCCAATCCAGGTCATTAGACTGAAACTCCTCCACAATTCGCACATGGGAGTTGTCAATTAGAACAGGCCTGTGAGAATTGTTTCAACAAAAGTCAATTTATTTTGGAGACGTCACCAGAGAATCACTGGTACAATCCTGCTCTTTCCCCATTGACCAGATTCCTCTTTTTTCTGGTAGATTTTTAGACCAAGAAAGCACAATGACTTGTCGCTGCAAAATAGTTTCAGAAGTGTGTCATGTTCATACTTGCCTTAGGCCTCGTGGCAATACAATGATCAAGCTGCGAAAAAAATAACACTTCCTTTTTATATCTTGAATTGGGAAAAAAAAGGTCCTCACAATCTCCAGGAACTGATTCTTTGCCTGAAAGCAAAGTGTGTATTAAAGCGCTAACCCTACCATTAATCCAACCAACCAGAGAGAGAGACCAGAGAAAGGAGACTGGTCTCTCTCTCTGGTCTCTCTCTCTCTCTCTCTCTGGTCTCTTTCTGGTCTCTCTTTCTGGTGTCTCTCTCTGGTCTCTCTCTCTGGTCTATATTTGGTCTCTCTCTCTGGTCTATATTTGGTCTCTCTCTGGTCTATCTCTGGTCTCTCTCTGGTCACTCTCTGGTCGCTCTTTGGTCTATCTCTGGTCTCTCTTTGGTCTATCTCTGGTCTCTCTTTGGTCTCTCTCTGGTCTCTCTTTGGTCTACTGTATCTCAGGTCTCTATCTCTGGTCCTTCTCTCTGGTCTAGTTTTCTATCACTAGCTTTCTCTTGTATTAATTTATTCTTTAAGCTCTGCATCATTTTTGTTTTTGCTTTCGAGGACAGAAACGTGAAAAAGAGAGGTCCACACTTCAAGTCTCAGCCCAAAGTGTCAAATAGAGCTCATTCTTGCAAACGTCACAATATTAGTGACGTTTGCAATATAATAGTTAGAACAACATGGGGTCGGATTTTTTCACAGAAGGTAACTTTTAAAATACTGTCACATATTGTCAGAATGAGCAATACATATTTTATTGAGCAAAAAAATACCCACTTAAAGCTGTGGTACCTCTTCTTGCTAGTGTTAGTCTGTGCCTTTTGAACCAACTCGGACTCTAAGGAGCACAGGGACTGGCCTCCTGCTGGTGACTCTGAGGAGCACAGGGACTGGCCTTCTGCTGGTGACTCTGAAGAACACACAGGGACTTGTCTTCTGCTGAGATTTTAAGGAGCACAGGGACTATCCTCCTGCTGGTGACTCTGAGGAGCACAGGGACTGGCCTCCTGCTGGTGACTCTGAGGAGCACAGGGACTGGCCTCCTACTGGTGACTCTGAAGAACACACAGGGACTGGCCTCCTGACAAAGAGATAAGAAAAAACATGTATACTTTTGATTTGCCTTGTGTATAAACAGTCCTATACAAATAAACTTGCCTCGCCTTGCCTTTAATGTGGTCTTCTTTGTTCGCAGACCGATACAAACGCAAAAAACCACCCGACCCAAGTATAGATTTGCCTTCACTTTGCAATTACGCTTCCCATGACGAATGCTAGTATTTATTATCCAGCCTTCTTCTTTTGGCTGTCTCTTTCAACCCCCCCCCCCCCCCCCACCACAACACGGCCGCCCACACCCCCTCGCCCTCACCGCGCTGCCGTGCTAATGCGGCCTAAGTACACTCCTGACTATGGGAGCAGGTGCAGCGTCATCGCCAAAGCACACACATCTACACCCACAAACACACACACACACACACATTCTCACTTCAATATACCCTCTGCAGCTTATCAGCGAGCCAGACAATAGCGTCCCACATGTACGCCGATCTATCACCGCGGGCCGGGGACTGCATTACAAGGCCCTGAGATCGCGGACAGAGATGGGGTTTCTCAATGGGGGGGTGGGGCTTTTTTTTTTTTTTTTTTTTTGGGAAGCTAGCAGGGGCAACGCTGCATAGCCAAGAAGCGGAAATGAAAGGCGGCGGCGTGGGCATCTCAGATCTCGCTCGGCCACCTCTCCTCCGCACATCCATCTCTCCATCTCTCTCTCTCTGCATGTGCACACTCCGGCAGAAAGCAGAGATCGAGCTCCAGCGAAGAGGCCACGGAGGGGAGGGACTGAGTGTGAGTTTTGTGTGTGCATGTGTGTGTGTGTGTGTAGATTCACATAGATTCAATTCAATGTAGTTTTTTTGCTTAGTCCCATAATCACAACAGCAGTCGTCTCGGAGGACTTAACACAAAGGCCGCTTCTCCTAAAACCAATCAGAGAATCAAACAGTTTTGCCCGCATTGCCAAGGAACCGCTCAAGCAGGAATTAAATAAATAGGTGCTTCATGTCTCTCTCTGGTCTCTCTCTTGTCCTCTCTTTTGTCACTCTCTGGTCTCTCTTTGATCTATCTGTCTCTCTCTCTGGTCTCTATGTCTAGTCCTTCTCTCTGGTCTCTCTCTGGTCCCTCTCTGCTCTCTCTTTCTGGTCTCTCTCAGGTCATTTCTTTGGTCTCTGTCTGGTCTCTCTTTTGACTTGATTTATTTAGGGAAAACCCTTTTCGAGAGGGTCCCATGAACATAAAACAAACACAATACATACACTTTTATCTCTTTCTGGTCTCTCTTTGATCTATCTCCAGTCTTTATCTCTGGTCTCTCACTCTCTGGTCTCTCTTTGGTCCATCTCTGGTCTCTCTCTGCTATGTTAGATTCTTGCGTGGAGATCTATTATGGAAATTGGCTTTTGGAGCAGCGCCTTGATTCATTGCCCAAAAGACTGGACTCAGTCTGCAGCCACGCCGGCCCTTTGAGGACTGGTCTAAAAGCTCCTGTTTCAACCCTGTAAATGGCAAAACCATTATGACATCATACTCAGAGCAGTTTTTTGTCATTTTAAACGAAAAGTAGTCCACAGAAATGAGTTTAGCATTGCATCTTTTACTTTGGCACACCTGTGTTTGTAGCCAGTGATATAAAAAGAAAAAAACACATCCAACTTCTCCCTCTGGTGGCAGAATAGGGAGTTACACCCAGAAAGCATGATTTACCGCTAGATACGGTAATGATTGATAAAGGTCAAAAGTAATGCACATTTCTGCTTTGATAAATTATTAAAAAATGGATCCTATTGAATCGATCGCATTCTACACGATGTACAAAAAGAAAAACAGAAATGGTCCGTGGCGCTCGCCGTTCTGCATAATCCTTCTCCAGGTTAATCCCAGGCCTCTCTCAGAATAAGCCGCACTGTCCAAATAAAATATGACAGTAATTTCCCCCAAATGATGACAGTGAGTGAGTGTGACAGACTCCATTCTCAGATCTTAAACACATTTGCATTGAATTGTTCCAAAGCTTCCTCCGCTCAAACTTAACCCAGAGCCGCCACATGTTAGCTGGAGTCTAACACGCGGCTAACGCTAATGTGACCTGACAGTGAGGCTCTGCTCGTAACCAGCTGTGTTCTCTTCCCGTTCTCCCAATCTCGCTGAGGTGAGGTGGGTGGAGAAGGGAAAGGAAGGGATTGGTCTTAAGTCTATTTTTCTTACAGTATTAATTCTGTGTGATTCTTACCAATGTTAAACGTTTGGGTATCTGACTTTCAAAGCACTATAAATGGGGAACTTTGTAACTATCAAATCCATTCCTATCCACTTTTTTATATTGAAAATTTGTATACAACAAGTTTCCAAATGTGCTGCACAGAGATATAAGATATAAACAGAGCACATTTAAATATACAAGTTTGTCAGCTTCATATGTTTAAAAATAAATAAATAAATAGAAAATATTTAAAAAAACATATGTACACAGTAAAAAAAACAAAGGGTAAAAAAACAAAAATTAAATGTAATCCCATTAAAAAATAAAAGTAAATTATTTTAAATTATAACATAAATCAAACGGATTAAACACAGTGCTAAAACTTTTATATCGAGTCATACTTGCATGTATGGACAGACCTAAAGCTAAGAAGGACAGGGCTTGATCAGTGCTGTGATGGGAGACGGTGCCATGTGCCAGTGAGTAATGTTTTAACAAAGACGTATTTTTAAATGTATTTATTTGGATCCCCATTGGCTTCCGCAAATGGTCACGAGTCTTCCTGGGGTAGACCAGAGATGGACCAACCAGAGATAGACCAGAGAGGTGGACCAGAGAGATACAAGAGAGAGAGACCAGAGAGAGACCAGAGAGAGACCAGAGAGAGACCAGAAACTCTTCTGGTCTCTCTGGGAAAGCCATGTTCCCGGGGGCCAGAAGAGTCCCTTATCTGAGAATAATTAAAAAAAAAATA